TCGGTCAAGACAGCTATCTCCGGCGGCTTGAGTCGGCCACTCAACAGCTTGTGGTGTCGGCGAACTACACGAACCGCAAGTCCTCTGGAAATAATTTCCAGAAAATTCAAGGCAAACCCTCTGGTTTCTCTCGGAACCAGGGCCAAAACAAAGACTCCAGGCCTCATAACAAATCAACGGGCCGGCCCAATACTTCTCAAAACGGTATAAGCCTAAATGTCAATTCTGTGACCAGATTGGTCACACGGCCAAGTCATGTCCTCAACTGCTTTCTCATTCCGTCACTGCCAATTGCACCTCTACCTCAAATGTTCTGGACAACAAATGGCTCATGGACTCCGCTGCATCTCACAACATCACTGGAGATCTAAAAATCTATCAATTCATTTGAATATGATGGCACAGATGAAGTTGTACTGGTGATGGTTCAGGTTTGGCTGTCTCACACATCGGATCCCTCACTTTAAAATCACCACAAAAGACCTTCATTCTCCAAGATACACTTTGTGTTCCAAACATTTCCAAAAATCTTATCTCTGTGCATCATTTTACATCCCAAAAATAATGTGTTTATTGAATTTCACCCTTCTTATTTTCTTGTGAAGGACAAGACCTCGGGGGAGAACCTATAAGAGGAGCATGTGAAAATGGTGTATACATCTTCCGAAAAACCCTGGTGGCATCTTCTTTTCCAATGGTTGCTAATGTGCATGAAAGAACCTCTATTGACGGGTGGCACAAACGTCTTGGTCATCCGTCCTCCAAAATTGTTCACATGTTGTGCGAAATTTTTCCCTTCCAGTCACAAAAAATAAAGATTTTTTTCTATGTCCTTCATGCTCTAATAAAGCTCATCAACAACCATTTGGTTCTAATAGTCTCAAGTAATGCCCCTCTTGAACTTATTTATACCGATGTTTGGGGTCCCGCTCATAGTGTTGGTTTAGATGGTTCTAGATATTATCTTATTTTTATTGACCATTACACCAAATACATGTGGTTTTATTCTATGCAAACGAAATCTAGTGTTACCAAAATTTTTCCCAATTCAAAACTCTTGTTGAAAATCGGTTCCAAAGCAAAATTAAAACAATCTACTCGGACAATGGGGGAGAATATGTGAGTTTAAAACCTTTCCTTGCTCTTCATGGCATAAGTCATTTAACTACCGCTCCCACACACCACAAAAAATGGTATCTCGGAACGACGTCACCGTCATCTAGTAGAAACCGGTTACTTTGCTTCATGATGCAAATTTACCTCTCACTTATTGGCCACATGCCTTTCAAACCACATATCTTATAAATCGTCAACCCACACCTTTACTCCAAAATATCTCTCCGTACCAAGCTCTTTTTGGTCAACCACCAAATTATCTTAAATTAAGAAAATTTGGTTGTTTGTGTTATCCACTCACCAAACCGTACAACATACACAAAATGGGCCCAAAATCCACACCCTGCATTTTTTTGGGCTATTCCCTCACTCAGAATGCTTATCGTTGTCTCGATCTAACAACACGGCGCCTGTACATCTCACGCCATGTTTTATTTGACGAGGCCCAAAACCCTTTGACTGAACCTTCCTCTACATCACTCTCTACTCCTCTGAGTCTCTCCAAAGTTCCACATTCGGTTCCAGCTGCTCTGCCGCCCGTGTCACTTCCGTCGCCACCAGTGCCTCCGAAGGTTCTCCCACCATAGTCACTGCACCTCTAGGTACATCTCGGTTCTCTACTTCTTTTGATTTACAAACTCAATTGCATTTAGATTCAAATGTTGACAACCCGACATCTGCAAACCCCTTCTCACCCAACTTGTTGCCGAATCTAAATCCCTCCTCCACTCCCTCTGTCAATCCTGACCTAGGAGATAGCTCTACCCATCCATCTTACCTTCCCCTTCAAAATCCCTCCCGAAACCCTCACTCATCCACTTCCCGAACCCATCATATGACCACTCGGTCTATGAACCAAATCTTCAAGCCAAACAGTTGCACACTGTTAAACATCCCTTACCCGACACCATTGAGCCCACATGTGTGAGTCAAGCTGTCTCTGAACCTCACTGGCGTGAGGCCATGTCCCATGAACTCATGCACTCATGCGGCATGGCACTTGGGACCTGGTTCCCCTCCAAGTCATTGCAGTCCAGTAGGCTGCAAATGGGTTTTTCGAGTGAAGCGTAAAACCTGATGGGTCTGTGGATCGGTTTAAAGCCCGCCTTGTGGCAAAAGGGTATCACCAACATCCATGATTAGATATAAAGAGACCTTTAGTCCTGGTTAAGCCAGCCACAATTCGAACTATTAGCTATTGCTGTGATGAATGGGTGGGGTATGCGACAAATGGACATTAATATGCTTTCTTGCATGGGGAACTTACTGAAACTGTCTACATGCGCTAAACCCCCAGCTTTAAAGATTTAACCAAGCCTGACTATGTCTGTGCCTTCGCAAGGCTATCTATGGTTTAAAACAGGCCCTCGTGCGTGGTACTCAGCCCTGAAAAATGCTCTACTTCAGTTTGGCTTAAGAACTCACAGGCAGATTCTTCGTTGTTCATTTATAAACATGAAGGTATTATATTTTCTGGTTTATGTGGACTTAGTAATCACTGGAAATAATTCCAATTTGAAGTTCTATTTTGGAACAACTTGGCCGAAATTTTCATTAAAAGACATGGGGTCCTTAAATTACTTCTTGGGCGTGGAAGTCTTACCCCTAAGGCATCTTTTTTCCCAACATAAAATAGTCTGTGATTGCTATCTAATACAAACATGCTTGGGGCCAAGAAGTCTGCACTCCTCTCTCCACCAGCACACTCTCAAACTCAATGATGGTACTGCTTCTGTTGACAGCACTGAATACAGAAGAGTAATTGGAAGCCTCCAATACCTCTCCCTCACTTGCCCAGACATCTCATTTGCTGTGAACAAACTGTCTCAGTTCATGCACAAGCCTACTCAAACTCACTGGACAGCAACAAAGCGCTCCTGCGCTACTTGAAACACACCTCTTCCATGGTGTTAAACTTACCTGCAAGACAAACCCCATTCTCACAACCTTTCAGATACCGATTTGGCCGAAACTTTGATGATCGCACCTCCATCAGCCTATCATATACTTCCTCGGTTGCAATCCAATCTTGGAGCTCAAAGAAACAACGAGCTGTGGCACGATCGTCGACTGAAGCAGAATACAGGGCTCTTGCTAATGCTGCCTCTGAAACTGTTTGGCTAACTCTCTTCGAGAACTTGGTTTCAAACTTCAATCCGCTCCATCAGTGCTTTGTGACAATCTTGGAGCTACACATCTTAGTTTCAATCCTGTGCAACATTCAAGGATGAAACATATCCAAATTGACCTCACTTTGTTCGAGATTTGGTTCAACAGGGTGTTCAAGTCAAACATGTTCACACTCAAGACCAGCTAGCAGATTTATTAACCAAACCTCTCTCAAGGCAGCGGACGGAAATACTCAGAAGCAAAATTGCTCTGCTGATGGCAGCTCAATTTGAGGGGGTGTATCAAGGCAGATCATTCACAAGACAATCAACCAGATTCTTAGCCTACAATCATGCAAATCTTCTCACGAGAATAATGCCTCTGATCTCTTCAATCAATGTAAATAGATAGTGCAGCAGGTTTTCAGCAATACAGTTGTAATTCTTTCCTTTTTTATACCTATGTAATTCCTTAAGTTTAGCATGAACTCTGTATAAATTACATTCTAAACATCAATGATGAATGAGGAATATTTCCATTGTAATACCTTTCTTCAATTCTACAGGTACTCTTTCATGAACCACTTGGACCAACAACCGCAAAGTCTTCCTGGCATCCATTGAGAAGGTTAAATTCTCAAACACCGTGTGAAGCCTAGACGGGTAAGCAAAACAGACCTCACGAAACTCTTATCTTTCCAACAACTTTTGGCAAAATTGTTTCACCATCCGACTGTCCTGAAGGCTTCGAGTCTGCTTTTATCATGCTGAAGATATTGGTTGCAGCTGCCCGGCCTTTAGCAATTGCAGCAAGGTTTGGTGCTGCTTGACCTAAAGCAACTACAAAGCAAAAACTGTTTCTTTATCATAGAATTCGATTAATCGGAGATAAACTCCCTGAAAATTTGTTAGAAGATTCAGATATTACAATCCACTAAAAATGACATTGATAATTGTAGTAAACGTTCCCTTCATTTGTTTTATGCCGGCATACCAAAGGAGAAAGGCCCAGGTACAGAAAAGCAGGCCATAGGTAAATCCAACACACACCCCTTTTTCAAGTCCACTTCTCTTCCCCATTTTAAGAGCATATTTGCAAGTGAACTATAGTATGCTTTAACTGCTTTTCCTCTCCTACAAATGCGTATACGGTGCGAATCTGTGAAATAACCTGAACTAAAAGGCAATAAAAAAGCTAACTCCATACATGAAACAAGATTGAGAAATTAGTTTGCAGGCTGATCGTTATATTAATTGAAGATATGTCAAAGTTCTTGCTAAGTTTGAGAGCATAGAGTCCACTGCCACCAACTAAAAATCGATACTCATCAGAATCCGAAACTGTAACAGCATGGTGTTTCTTGTACCTTGGAATTGTGTGTTCAAAGAGAAAAACCTTCTTAAAACTTACCTCCTCGGCGATCTTCCCTGCTTCAGCATAAGCTGCTCACCCTTTTCTGATAGAGTTGGCATAATTATATAGGCTCCGCCAGCAATGGCTATCAGTGGAACTACAACCAAGGTGAGTAGTGTAAGCTGCCATAAAGAGGTAAACCCAATGGTAAAACCGACGACAAATTATAAAAGGTAACAGAAAGCATGACATTTCTGCTCCAAGATACATGAGAGAATATAGTGTTGGTGAAATATCAGACCAAAGTTTTGAACATTATGAGAATCTTTATGGTCTGTTTATGGTAATATACCTTGTCTCCTATGGCATCTGGACAAGGATTGCATCACTGGAGATATGAAAAATAATGTTAGAATCTCTGGCTTCAGTGTCAAAGTAGCTTATATCTTTTCTCAAAACCGACTGAAGATATTTCAGATGCAAACGGGTCGTCTGTCTCTCCCCGGTTTGCATCCAGAACGCAACACCTGAAGAAAGAAAATCAACAAGGATTTTATCAAGTACTAGAAGAAACTTTGAGAAAACGGGAAACGTAATAGCCAGTGAGGAGCAAGAAACATGAAATACACCTATCCAGCCGATGCGAAAACAACAAGACCAAGGTAGACCAAGTACAAAGCATGCTGCAAGGGGTTAGAAGTATCAATATTAAGCAAAATCTTGTCAATTTTTGTTATGTTGTGAAAATTCAGATCCCTGATTTTGCAAATATGATGATGGTTTCTAACTGGAAGAACAAACTGAAGTAATTAAGTTGAAATAATAAGCCTGAGTAGAATAGAATTGATTATAGAATGCCTCCTGGTTGTATCATTCCATTTGGAAAGCATTTCCATAACATCAGAGCTAGCATAGTAGTAGCACCTTAGAAACACGAGCAGACAATTTGTGAGGATCGGAAGGCATATGTCCTAAAGGATCTATCATGCGTCCAAACAAAACGAAGAACACCGGAAGAGCAGCCCCATGGATGTACGCCGCTAAACTTCCAAAAGAATCAGCGTGCAATCTAATTTATCAGAAGTAGAAAAAATTTCAAAGTATGAACAGGTTTTATGGGGTCAAATTCGATTGTTGCTCCGTCTTCTGTACTGAACTCTGCTCACTCAGCTCTATTTCTTCAATTTTTCAGCCTGAGAAACGCCCGCAAATGCTTTGGAATTGATTAAGAGAGATGATAAAAGGAAATGAAGCAAAAAGGGAATCGCATCATTTAGTTCTTGCGTTGTGATGATGAGAGGCAATGCAAGTCCCCCGTTCTTTAAATGTAAATTAACACAGTTGGCAAGCTAACCGTTGGGAATTAACCGAGAATTTTCTTATAATCAGATTTGTGAGAATGCGAATAATAGCGTAAAAATAATACCTGAAATTGATAACGGAGTTCAACCATTATGCCTACGTCTCCGCACTGCCGCAAATCTTTTACTAAAGAAAGAAAATTTACAGGTGTTTACAAAACACTCACAACTAAAAAAAAACTCTCTAAACTCTTTAGTATTGGAAGAAAAAAATGATTTATGATGATTTTGAAGCTAAATGAGTTAGGGTATTTATAGTTGAAACTTAAGACTAATCTTATAAATACCCTAAAGTCCAATGGACTAAAGAGCAATATTCCCATTGTATTTTTTCAACAATTGCAGTTTCAATTTTCGGTGCCCCTTGCCAACGCCCATGTGTTGCAAAATTTTCAACAATTTACAGCTTCAATTTCGATGCAAAAATTTTCAACAATCTCCCACTTGAAGACTGATTTTAATCTGTCTTCACACCTCGATTAATGCAGCAACATTTCTGACCTTGTTACTCTAGCATGCCAAATGAAGCTGAACACAAGTTCAGTTTGTCCGTAGTCGCTATCCTGTAAACCCACTTGTTATTGGGCAGTTTCGTGGTTGCCTTGTCCCTCAACGTCTTGGCTCCCTTTGACTTTGTCCACTAGCCTTTGAAGGATGTTCCTCACTTGAACATCCTCGGCAAGCCCTTGCTTCGACTATTCTTATGATGGTCTCTGAAGCCATGTTCTCTACATGAACATGCTCGACAAACTCCATGAACACAGACAACTCTTCTTGTACTTGGCTTCTACTCGCCTTGGCATAAACAAACCGTATTGAGCCAAGTCTCAACTCCTCTTCGATCATAGGTTCGCCCTCTCCTCTGGACAACTCAATCCTGGGCTCATCCATCACCTTGGATGACTTGGGCTCCGGGTAATCTTGCAACACCTCTGGCATCTTAAGTCTGCGCCCCATCGTTTGCTCAACTTACCCTCGACTTAGCATCTTTGACACTTGAACTTGTGTCAAGATGCACAATCTCTCCAGATCCACCATCTGGTTCATCGTTGAGTGGATTTCACTGTCACTCTAGGAACAATATTCCTCATCCTTTGACTTGCCTTTATCATGGAATCTCTTGCCGCTACCCTCGACTTTGGCTTTACTTTGGAAGTCTTGTTCTTCGACTCTAAATTCCTTGATGGACTCGGCGGTTATCAAGGCTTTAGAAAACTCTTTGACTTCCCTTCGCTCCAGCACTTTCTTTGCCCATGGCTTCAATTCGAACATGAAGGTGAAGAACCCATCTTCTTCAGTCAAACTTGAGACTTTGAGCATGAGTATTCTGAATCGACTCACATACTCCTTAAGTATCCCTTTATGCTGAGACGCCTCAACTTGGACCACGCTTCCATCATAGCATACTGTGAGCGAACTTGCTCACTTTGCACCCTCGACTTGACGACTTTATCTCTTGCTATCGCACCTAGTCCCTTCTTGTGCTCGACTTCTTTGACACCTGTAGTCTCGTCACATTTTGATCATGGGCTGACTACTTGAGAACTTGTAGTCGCACCATGCCTGCTCCTTGATTTGGGTACTTTGGAATATGTAGCCTCACCAAGTCTTGCTCTGAGTTGATTGCTTGGACACTCATAATCACATAGGACTTCTAGGTTCGGCTGTCTTAACACCAAAACTTCCCTCGACTCGTTCCTTGCTTGGCCGCATTGATCTCATCAATCGGACCAAGTCTTTTCCCTGGCTTGGTAGCTTTAAAACTTACGACCGCGCCAATTTCGCTTTCCTTCTTTCATCCTTTCATGATGGTTGTAAGGCGACGCTTCTCGGGACATCCTCTAATCAAATGAGGACCATCACAGAAGTAGAACTTTAATTTTCCTTGCTCCCATTCTTCTTTACACCAGACTTAGCCATGCCATTATTTCCCAATGGCTTTCCTTGGCTACGAACAGTCGATGGCTCACCTTGGCCATTTGAAGAGCTTTCTTTACCATCTCCTGCTGCACCTTTTCCCGGTCTCCCCCACTGTTGCCACTATCCCTGGGCATGGGCATGGACGACACATTGCTACTTGGCTTGACTCCTGCAAGCTCAATCAGCTTTCCGGCTACAACTATGGCCTCCGAAAGTCTCTAGGCATTTCCTTGCTCTCCCCAGAGCATCGCCCCTAGTCTAAGTCATTCCAAGAAGGTCTTTAGTGCATCCCATTCACTCTCATTGTATATGAGCAGCTCCCTCTTGAGCTCATCAACTTCGTTTATCAAAGTCATCGCCCACCCGAATCTGGCTTCTTTTGGATCGTTTAGGACAATTCCCGCGAACCACCGTGTATTAGAAAACCTCCGTTGACAAAACTCGTATCGCCGACAAAATTTTACTATTCATAAAATTAACTATTCATGTGAATAGTAACTTCACAGAAAAATCGACAAAATTCATAACCAAAAGCTCTAGATACCAGTTGTTGGGAAATAAACGAGTAATTTCCCTATAATCAGATTAGTGAGAATGCGAAATAACAGTGGAAAAATAATACCCGAAATTGATAACGGAGTCCAGCCAATTATGCTTACGTCTCCGGACTGCTGCAGGTCTTTAACTAAAGAGAAAAAATTTATAGTTGTTACAAAGCACTCACAACTCACAAAGAAACTCTCTAAACTCTTTAGTATTGAGAGAAAGAAATGATTTGGGATGTTTTTTTGTTGAAAAGTCAAGCAAGTAGGCCAAAACTTTCCAAAATTTCGGTGGAAATCTTTCGGTGCATGTGCAATTAAAATTGGTTGTTTTTTGTTGAAAAATGGCAAGGGGAAATTACAATTAGTCCCTGGACTTTAGGGTATTTACATATTAGTCCTTAAGCTTCAACTATAAATACCCTAACCCATTTAGCTTCAAAAATCATCCCAATCATTTCTTTCTCCCAATACTAGAGAGCTTTCTTGTGATTGTGAGTGTTTTGTAAATACCTGTAAATTTTCTCTCTTTAGTAAAGATCTGTAGCAGTCCGGAGACATAAGCATGATGGCTGAACTTCGTTATCAATTTCGAGTATTATTTTTCCATTTTATTTCGTATTCTCACTAATTTGGTTATAGGGAAATTACTCGTTTATTTCCCAACAACTAGCATCAAAGCTTTTGGTGGTGAATTTTGTCGGTTTTTATGTGAGGTTACTATTCACATGAATAGTGAATTTCATGAATAGTAAAAATTTGTCGGCGATACGAATTTGACGGAGGTGTTTTAATACAAGATGGTTCACGGGAATTGTCAGAAACGATCCAAAAGAAGCCAAATTCGAGTGGGAGCGATGACTTTGAGAAATAAAGTTGATGAGCTCAAGAGGGAGCTGCTCATATGCAAGGGAGCAATGAGTGAATGGGATGCGCTCAAGACCTTCTTGGAAGGACTTAGACCAGGGGTGATGCTCGGGGGATAGCAAAGTGATGCCCAGAGACTTTTGGAGGCCATAGCTGTAGCCGGGAAAGCTGACTAAGCTTGCATGTGACAAGCCAAGTAGCGATGTGTTGTCCAGGCCCATGCGCAGAGATAGTGGCAACAATGGTGGAGACCGGGAAAGAATGACAAGGCTAAGTCCGGTGTAAAGAAGAAGGAGAGCAATGAAAAATTGAAGTGTTACTTCTGTGATGGTCCTCATTGATTAGAGGATGTCCCGAGAAGCGTCGCCTTACAGCCATCATGAATAGGGGGAAGGAGAAGTAGCGAGAATTGGCACGGTTGCAAGTGTTAAAGCGACCAAGCTAGGAAAAAGACTTGGCCCGATTGATGGGATCAATGTGGCCAAGCAAGGATCGAAACATGACGAGACTGCGAGTGTCAAAGCGTCGAGCAAAGAAGGGACCCTGTGCGATAGCAAAAGATAAAGCTGTCAAGCCGAGGGTGCAAAAGTGAGCAAGTCTACTCACAGTATGCCAGGATGGAGGCGTGGTCCAAGTTGAGGCGTCTCAGGCATAAAGGGACACTTAAGGAGTTTGTGAGTTGATTTAGAAAACTTATGCTCAAAGTCCCAAGTTTGACTGAACAAGACTTCCAAAGCAAAGCTGAAAGCCGAGGGTAGCGGTAAGAGATTCCGTGATAAGGCAGGTCACAGGATGAGGAATGTGTTCCTCGAGTGACAGAGAAAATCCACTCAATGATGAACTAGATGGTGAGTCTAGGGAAGATGTGTGTCTTGGCACAAGTTCGAGTGTCAAAGATGCTAAGCTGAGGGTAAGAGTCGAGCAAACGAGGGGGTGCAGACTTAAGATGCCAGAAGTGTTACAAAATTACTCGAGGGGAGCCGAGTCGTCCAAGGTGATGGATGAGCCCAAGATCGAGTTGTCCAAAGAAGAGGACAAAACTGAGGATCGAAGAGGCGTTGAGAGTTGGCTCAATAAGGTTCATTTCTGCCAAGGCGAGTAGAAGCCAAGTGCAAGCAGAGTTGTTAGTGTCCAAGGAGTTTGCCGAGCATGTTCGTGTAGAGAAGATGGCTTCAGAGACCATTTAAGAGAAGGGTCAAAGTAGGGCTTACCGAGGATGTTCAAGTGAGGAACAATCCTTCAAAGACTAGTGGACAACAGTCGAAAGAGCCAAGACGTTGAGGGACAAGCCACGGAAACTGCCCAATAACAAGTGGGTTTACAGGATGGTGACTACGAACAAACTGAA